TGAGGTGCTGAAGAAGGCCCACGAGTTCGTGAGGATGCTCGGACTTCGCCATTTTTTTGAGGGGGGGTGTTAGGGTTTAGGGTTTAGGGTTGAGGGTTGAGGGTTTAGGGTTCGGGGTTTAGGGTTGAGGGTTGAGGGTTTAGGGTTCAGGGTTTAGCCTCGCTACAAATATTCACCACCAAGGTCCCTGCCGACATGATCGTTAGTGTTGCTATTGAAGGTAGCCCCCGAAAACCTCCCCGAACCCCTATCCAAAACCCTAACCCAACCGTATCCAAACCCGTATCCAAACCCGGCAAAGGATTGCAATCTTTATTGAAATCGTTTTGAATTCTTTCCTTTGGACGAGAGCGTATCGCCCCCTCTATCAAAATCGTATCCGAATCGTATCTCCCGAAATGCGGAATACGCCAATCGTATCAGTGAATCGTATGCAAATCGTATCCAAACCGTAAACCAAAAATATTCCTGCATCGGCCAATGAGGCCTAACTAGAAACTCTTGGCCCTAAACCCTAAACCCTAAACCCTAAACCCTAAACCCTAAACCCTCACATCCCTTCAGCCCTAAGCTCTAAACCCTAAAAGCCGAACAAACGTCCTTGGCCAGGACCTTAGCGACTTTTTGGTTGAAGGGGCCCGTGGGGCCTTAGCGGGTCGACGTGTTCGGCCGAAGGCGGGGGTTTAGGTTTAGGGCTTTGGGGTTTGGGGTTTAGGGTTTGGGGTTTTAGGGTTTAGGGTTTTAGGGTTTAGGGTTTGGGGTTTTAGGGTTTAGGGTTTTAGGGTTTAATCAGGGTTTAAAATTTAGGGATGTCGGCTTGGGCTTGACCGTTGAAGTTTGCGTAGTATGTCTACGATGGTCTTGACGAGTGAGTACCATCAGAATTAATTTTCATTCGTGTTACGACTGTATAATAGCTACTGTTGCTTGTTACCAGATACTGTTGTTTTCACCAGTTTCATCTCTTAGCGTAAAACCTTGAACCGTAAGCCCTAAGACCCTTAGCCCAAAACCTTCAACCTCTCACCCTAAACCCTAAACTAAACCCTAAACCCCAATAAACCCTCAACCCTAAACCCCAAACTCCAAGCCCTAAGCCGCAAACTCTAAGCCCTAAACCCCAAACTCTAAGCCCTAAGCCCCGAACCTTGTGGCCCCAAAAACCCTCAGCCCATAGTTTTGGCTCCCAGGCTTCCGGATGTCATCAGATTTGTGTGTCGTCCCCGGGTTGAAGGCTTTGGTGGTTCGGAGTTGATGGGCTCATGCCTAGCTCTTCCTTAGGAGAGGGAGAGGAAAGCAAGAAAGGAAGATAGAGAGACAGAGAGAGAGAGAGAGAGAGAGCGAGGAAGGGAGGGAGGGAGGGAAGGAGAAGGGAGGGAGGGAGAGAGACAGAGAGATGTAAATATGCCTACAAGCAACAGATATATAGCTAGCTAGCCATCTAGATAAATAGACAGAAACACACTGCGGAATCTGGCAGCATCCGCGGTGCAGGTCGAGGTACGGAGTGACAACGAGGACGACACTGACAAAGAAGCAGGTGCCGGGACTTCATTCTTAAGGGTTTAGGGTTTAGGGTTTAAGGTTTAGGGTTTAGGGCTTAGGGTTTAGGGTTTAGGGAGGTAGCCTTTAGCCTTTTCGCCTTATATATTATATAATGCTACTGAAATTGAAAAGGTTAACCTTTTTTGGGCTAGGGTACTCAGCCCCTAAGCACTAGTCCAATGCTATCTTTCCATAAATACGCTTTGGCTGTTTCTATGGCTTCGGGTTGAGGGGCTTAAATCTTTCGGAATTTAAGGGTTTGGGATTGAGTTGATAGGCTTCGCTGGCCGGCTAGCCAATATCCAATCTGCTCAATTATTGTTACCTTGGTAGTTGTCGGTTTTTGGGTTCTGATAGCTTAGTAGTTACCTGCGTTTTGAAGCTTTTATTCCAATGAGTAGTGGAGAAGTCAGCAAGTAGAATGTGAAGAGTCTAAGTCCCCAGTGGTACCCCCCCCCCCCAAATACCTTGATTTGGGGATATCGCATTAAAGACGAAAAATCGCAAAACAAGTGTAGCCAGATTCCGCTGCGGTTAATTGAGGGCTGGGAGCCAGTCCCTAGAATTTCAATCTCGGTGGGGTGCCCAAATCAGGATAGGTAGTATAGGACTTCGTGCTTCTGTTAGGTACCAACAGACCCCTAATGCAATTCTTGAGCGGTTACTCTAACGGATATTTACGGGTGACAACGGCATCAACAACGACAATAGTTCGAACGTTGATACTGTGACTGTTGATGCATAGCCTTCTGAACCATCAACAAGTCCGACGACCATGGAAAGCCGGCCTAAAGTAACCCAAAACCGTAAACCCTAAACCCTAAACCTTAAGCCCTAAACCCTAAACCCTAAAGCTCCACATAAACCCGCAAACCTCAATCGTAGAACCGGAGGGTCCGAGAACCCCCCATTAAAACCCTAGCACTTAAATTGACGGCCCTACAGGCCCTAAGCCATAAGCCAAAGCCCTGAACCTGTACTTAAAGGATCATGGGACNNGTCCCATGATCCTCCAAGTAGACGTGGCCTGAGGCCCTTCGCCCACAAAAGCCCGCGGGGAGCGCCGTGCACCGCCGCTGCGCCGGGGACACTCCTTTGGGGCCCGTCGGGGGTCGGGGAGCATTCGGGGTCTCGGGGTTTGGGTTTAGGTTTGGGGTTTAGGGCTCAGGGTCAATTTAGGCATTAGGGTTCAGGGTTTAGGTTTTCTAGGGTTGGGGTTTTAGAGTTAGTTTAGGGTCTACATCAGTGTTCAGCTTTTCAGGGATCTAAACGGTTCTATAAGGGCTTCTCATCAGGACATTGGGGTTTGCTGTTCCCGAATTTTTAAATTCAGAAATGCAGAACTGCTAGTGTTCAGTCGGGGTTTCAGGGCTTTTGGGGTTCATGGTGATTGCAATTACATAGGCTTTAGATTTCGTCGTTGAACCTTGATGTTGAGGTGTTGCACAGCGGTTTAGGGATTGGGCTGTGTCTGATTAGCTAAGCTAATAGTGAGACCTCCTTACACTCCCCATGCCACCGTACTATGGGTTTATAATTAGGGTTTAGGGTTCCAGGCCCATTGTAATGATGTCCAATACCCAGATTTCCCCAAAACCCTAAACGCTAAAGACCCTAAACCCTAAACCCGCCGCGAAACCCTCAGCCGACGTTAAGGGCCATGTCTAGTTTCAGAAGCATTTTAAACACTATGCCAGCCATGAACTAGGACCTGGGTGGCTCCGACGGTGGGTCGTCTGGGTGTTCGGTCGATGTCACCGCCTAATATAGAAGCCTGAATCATTAGCAATACTATGTTAGGGGTTCCTTGTTATTAAAATAGTACAATCTACCCCAAAACCCTATTATGCTTCTTAAGCCCTAAACATTAGGCGCTTGCCTCTGGCGTTAGAGACCTGGTTTTAGGTCTGGGGTTTAGGTGAAGGTTCATGGGCTCCTTGTGAGACGGGGTCGGGGTGTCAATATGGAGGCCGAAACGATGACAACCCTGAACCTAAACCCAAAACGTAAAGCCTGAACCCTAAACCCTAAACCTAAACCCTAAACCCTAGACCCCCAAGGTTTCCTAATGCTCATAAGCACTATTCCTGAAGGGCTCCTCGATACAAATGCAGTAGAATCTACTCTCAAGAGCCATGTTCTAAGTACCAACGCCCCTACTTAAAGGATCATGGGACTTAGTAACTGATGTTATAAGTAAGGTAGCTATACCTATAATTGCTTATAACCCCAACTAAGGTTACTATAACCCCACTTACTAAGTCCCAAGATCCTCCAAGTAAGTATATAACGCCCCTACATTAGCTCTTTCGGCCTTGCTCTTGACTAGATTACTGGGCATCTTTGGGCCGAGCCTGCCACCCTAAACCCTAAACCCTAAACCCTAAACCCTAAACCCTGAACCCTAAACCCTAAACCGGCTCCGGCTTTACTACTCGGCTCTTGGGTGCTGTTTCGGTGTTTGCCTTGTAGGGTTTAGGGTTTAGGGTTTAGGGTTTAGGGTTTATGGTTTAGGGTTTAGGGTTTAGGGTTTAGGATTTCTCTCTTTGAAGGTTTTTAAGGGGATATAACGTGTGCTTAGCTTCGAAACGCTACCAATGATGGACATGTAAGTTTTGTTTATCGCAAACCCTCGCCTGTCCAAAACTCGATCCCGGCCTAAACTCTAAACCCTAGACCTTAAACCCCAACCCCTAAACCTC